TTCTTAAACACTGTCTCTTGCAGATGATAGAAGTGAGATAAAACCTTGCATCCTGTCACAGGCATTCTACATGTGTTTCCTGTTGCTTGCTGGGTGACATGCTGGTAAGCAGTGATGCTCTCCTCTCACAGACAGCTGACTTTGCTTTTCCTTTTGATTTCTCAGTGGCCCTGCACAGCCAAGCTTGCCTGAACTCAGCAGTAACAGCTGCTGGAAGACACTTTCTCTCTGACTCCATAGATGCTGTTTTCAGGCTTTCAGATGTTTCTTGCTTCTACCAAGCAGATTTTTGGCCAAAATCTCTGTCTCAGATGTGCTGATTCCAGCTGATTCCTCAGCCTACTATTTTGCTCCACTTAGACAAGATTGCTCTGAATAAATTACCACTATCAGGCAGAGGTGAATCCACAAGGTGCTTCTCAAAGAAGTGTTCCCATTAGAAATTTCAGAAAGTGCCACCAATGTCATTTTCAAAAAGGTTAATTTGTTATCGAGAGACCTTGATTCTCCATTCCTTTATAATTTCTTGCACTGTAATTCAAAAGAATGGGATATAAAAATGCTATTAAAAGCTGAAAACTTTCCCAGAATAATCTTTTTCCCTCCACCTGAATTGTCTATATTATGCAAAAGTATATGCTCTGACAGGCATTAGGAGGCTCTATTCTCCCCAGGTTTACATTCAGTGGCATGTAACAGGCACATATTTTGACACCACCTAACTCTTTCGTGATGACGATTCCACACCCTTTTAGAAAACAGACTCTCCTGCCCTCAAAATCTGTGCCAATGTTCCTGAGTGGATTTAGTTACAGCTATATTGGATTTCGAAGCTGTGTGATGGACAGCCTCACAATTTATGAAATTAACTGTGTGCTATCAAACTGGGAATACAGATGCTTTTTTCCAATTTTTCTCCAGCTTTCACTGGAATAATGGAGGCCAAATCATTCCAGAAAAGGACTGCACAGTAATTGCAGTTGACAATGTCATACAGAGCCTGCGATGATTTTAGTGGCACTGAAAACTTCAGTCTGTTGGAACATAGCAGATAGAAAATCAACACCCTTTACATCCAGCATGTTTACTGCTCAAGTAAAAGCTACGGTCATTTATTTAGGTGAGTCCTCACACACGGGATGTTTGCCTGAAGGAATGACTGCACAGTTTGGCTTTATGAGCTTATCATTATGATAACCATTTTCAATTTTGTGCTTTCTACTTTTATCTATGATTATTAATTAATGTTTCATGCATTTTCCCAGCAGTTCTATCACCCTCACAGCATCTGCTGCGAAATTTCAGTTTCCTCAGTTTTGTACAGTGAGCAGCTGAAGCATGAGCCTAGGCAAGGGCAGAATTAGCACATCAATCACAATTCAGGAGTTTCAGACTGCTGGTCCTCTTCTCACATCACCAGATCCTAGTTCTTTCTGCATCACAGCTATACTTTTCAAACTCACTCTTACTGTAAGCCCTATGTCAGTGAAATAATAAAGGGAGATTTTTCTAGGTGCTCTTGCCACAGAAATCAAATTAAATGGTAGCTTGCCTCTGACAGTCAACACAACTTTTCTGAAGGTGCCTCACCCCACACAGATAGATCTAAGGCTCCATCATGTGTAACTTGATTTATTTGTTTGGTGTTGCAACTTTACACATTGGTTCATAAGAACTGTCATGTTGCTTTATCCTCTTTACTCTGGGGGTGAAGAAAAAAAATTATAACACTACAGTGCCACAGTATTTATATACTTACGATTTAGCATCATCCCCACATCACCACTGGCCAATCAGAGCTCAAATCAGTCCAACAGTTTAATTACCTTGGTAGCCTCATCTCCTCAGATGGTAAGATCGACGGAGAGATAGACAACAGGTTAGCAAAGGCATACAGTGCTTTTGGAAAGCTCCACAAAGGAGTATGGCGTAATAAACACTTGAAGAAAAGCACCAAGATCAGTGTTTACAAAGCCATAGTGTTGTCGACTCTCTTGTATGGTTCTGAATCATGGGTCATCTACCGCCACCACCTGCGTCTCCTTGAACGCTTCCATCAACGCTGCCTCCGTTCAATCTTAAACATCCACTGGTCAGATTACGTGACCAATACATCTGTTCTAGAGAAAGCAGCTGTCACAAGTATTGAGGCCATGTTGCTGAGAACACAGCTGCGATGGGCAGGGCACGTCTCAAGGATGAAGGACCACTGCCTCCCTAAGATCTTGCTTTATGGTGAACTTGCCACTGGCTGCCGCATGAGAGGAG